TTCTGATTGACAATATCTATGTAGTTTTTGGAGACCAGGTCTTCCAACAATCTGTCGGAATTCCCATGGGTACTAATTGCGCCCCCGTTATTAGCAGACCTCTTTTGTATTCATATGAAGCAGAATTTATTCAAAATCTTGTACATGAGAAGAAGAAACGAACAATTTCTAAAACGAGGCAAGCTATTAAGAAATTAAACAAGTTGATGAAGCAAGAATATCAACAGTCTCGATTAAAGTCATCATTTCGCAAATTATATGGTCGATACAATGACCTTGTCAGCAAATACAATCTATCATTAATTAAGTCAAATGCTGACTGACGTTTTTCATACTTATTGTTAGACCATTATTTACACACTGAATTGTCTACGGAATTTTCCGTTTTCACCGATCATGACAAGGAACACACGGCGGATGTGACCGGTCGGCAGGGGATGCTCACTCCTCCATGGCACCTGATCCCTCCTCTGATGTTTTGGAGGTCCGTGTTTGCTCTGCTCCTATTTTGTATTGTTTGAATGGACTTTTGAGCTTGAATACTGTTCGTTATCTCAATATTTCACAACAAATTCAAAAGAGCCTGTTGCATTGTCGAAGTTTACTTAAATGAGGTCTAACACACACACACACACACACACCTCCACACACACACCACTTGGACTGGATATCCATTCTTAATATACATGTATTATTTTATAGTTTTCTCTCTTTGTTATTCTTTCTTCCTATTTTCGCTCTTTGCACTGTAACGCAATAAAAAGTCAACAGAAGGGAATTTTTTTTTTTATCAATGTCACGTCGAAATTGTGCACCATTATGGTAGGAAATTTCCAGGAAAGACACTTTATAAGGAAATGTCTTACTGGTCTCCAATTAAGGCGAGCTTAAAAACGTGATAAACTTTATTAAAACAAAATTCAGTCACACTGAAATTTGTCGTTTTTAAAATGAACTTTATGATGAATATGAATTAACCTCCCTTCACTACATTATAAATAAACGATATGGCATTTCACAGCCGGAAAAAACTTTTGAAATTCCAGGAAAAACAAAACAAACTAATTCTTATCTCGTGTTATTTTACAGGATTTAACATTAGTAAGATTTTACTTCACATTTCTACCTGACCGCTTATTAATCAAACGCCCTCTCGTCAACAGTATTTATTTATCTTTTTAAGTAGGATGGACCTTTTTTTAAAAAATGAAAACCCAGGATTTAAAAAAAGAGGAAAATTAACCCAATAATTCTTTTATATAAAGGCGTTTGAATTGTTCCGTCATTGATGATGTAAAGACTCTATAACCAATGATTGTCAAGGAATCGCGCCCCTCGGGCACCTGTTGATGATTGATGGGCCAGGTCTAACACTGTGTTAGCTCTCTCGGCCATCTCTATACGGTAGGATTCTTTATTGCTTATCCGGAGTTAGCATTTGTGTTTTCTATGTGATATTAATGTGTGTTTAAAAACATTCAGCCACCTTTCGTAGAAACAAAAAGGTAGGTTTTGTATTTTATTATTTTCAACATATGGAATGAATTTCATATTGTATGTAAATCAATGTTGGGAAACTCGTTATAGGACATCAGAGGAAATACTTGTCAGGGTTATTAACAGTAACGTCTATTGTTTTAACTTCGCTTGCACACTTGCATTAAATTAATTCTGGTAACAGACAGTGCATTTCTTAAGATAAGTTTGGTGTTTTGGTTATTTCTATAAAGGTGTATATATTATAAATATGATTATTTATTTTGTATGTACATTTAATTATGCACTTTTCATCTGATATGTAAGCTAACATCATTCAAAATATTCAGAAACATGTATTAACTACACCTGGGATGTGCATCTAAAGAATTAAATTATCATTTTAAAAAAAATCATCATTTCTTTGTTAACGAGATATGTGAAATGAATGTATGATTATCCTAAACACTAAGTATTCATGTACTATAATAAATAGTTATGGTGTTAACCGAATTAAGCAGAGATAATGAGATACTCCGTGTTTGACAGGCTTGGATCTCGGATATTTTTATGTCCTGGTCACTCATATCGGTCAGCTTTCTGCCCCCAGGTTCCAGATTTTATGGACAACCAGAAATTTCGACCAAATGCATGTATATATAATCATTTCTGTTCATCTTTTTTTTTTTGTAAGTGATTCCACGCAAAACGATTCCTCATTCATTAGATGCGGCAAATAGAAAACAAAAGGGTTACATTTGCACTATCCATTATAATAATAATTAAAAAAAACCAGTCACTTTCGTGCAATCAAAATAGATAAAGGAAGATGTCTAATTAAATTTTGATTAATTAGACATGGGTTACTAATTGATTACATACAGGTCACGCCTTTCTTTACCTGTTGCCACGTATAACTGAAATAGATGATTCCTTTTTAATGTCTTTTTCTCGTTTTGTGCAGGAAACTTTTTGTTCTGTGTCCCCTAAACACTCGGCATTTGTCAAGTGTATGATTTAGTCTAAGTGAAGATTTACGTGATTCATCCAGGCACGTGTAAGTTTTTGACCGCTGGTCATACCTATTACGATTTTCCGTAGTGTAACATTATTTATCCATATTTGACTTGCTTTTTCTGTATATTGATAAGAAAATTAAAAGCACTCGTACATGTATGTTCGTTTAAAAAAGTTCGTGACCCCCCAGGGCCTGAATCGGTTGATAAAAGTACTGTCCTAATCCGTAGTGATACCCTACGTCCAGTGAATTCACCTTATTAAGGACATACGCAACGTACTTTACCTACGATAATTTTTCAAGATATTCTTAATTTAAGATTATAGTGCCATCAGATGTTCGTAGACAAAAAATCAGCATGCATTACCAGGGGTTTTAAAAAGATATGAATTGATGAAATTTCTTGTATAATTCAAAGAAAAATATACAAAAATTACTAAACATATATTTTAGATGTTTTGTTCATCCAAACTTGTTTTAGAAGAAGTGTACAACAGCTTGTATAGACATTAAAATGTAGCACACAGTTCCTTTAAGTACTGGAACTCTTCAACTCCAGGGAAAAAGACAATAAAGTTCAAACTACGTTGCGTATGTCCTTAATTAACAGAAATGTAAAGGTGAAGAAAATAACTTTTGATAATCAGCCATGTCATTTTTATTCTTACTTCCTCTTTCTCGATCTTAATAATAAATTACAGAGATATGTGTGTATCATTCACCCAACAAATTCTAATTGCTCCTTTTGAGACATAATGAATCATTCTCCATCATTCAACTATTACATAATGGTGGGAAACCCCAACCAGATTTAAAAAAAATCGTACCTGCAGCTACTAGTATATACACTGTACAAGAATTTGGACATAAATTGGTACTCCTTTGTACGGACAGGTCGTAAAGAATCTTGTGTATCATTTATTGGACATATAGATATGATTTATAACAATCACTAGGATGGAACATTCTATATTTCTACTTTTCCTTTGACACCGTTTACCTATATCACGATTATGGAAACAAGAACGATAACTATTAAAGTGGTTTGATTTTTTTATTAATATTTTTACAGCCATTGACAACACTGCTCGATTCCGCTCTAAAAGTTTTAGTCATTAAGTAAAACTTTAGACTTAACATATTGTATGTTTTGCATATCTAACAAACATGTTTAACAAGTTAAAAGTTTTAATAATAGTCAAATAAAACATGACGAAAACTAATGGTTTTATTTCAGAAAGTTATACTAATTTAAAATTTTACTCAGGTCTTGAGAGTTGGTCTTATATTAATCAAAAAATATGCCGCAGTCCATCTCTCTCTCGCTTTCACTCTCTCTCTCTCTCTCTAATGGGCACAGTTTCGGTCTAATTCCGTGATTGTTGCTACAGGAGAAAAAGTGTTTGAAAGTCAATGTTAGCGAGATCCGCTGGTGACTGATTGAGGGTTTTCCTTAGTGATAAATTCATATCAAGTCTACAACGGATGTACCAAGACACTAGTTAAACGAAACAGTGGATAAAAACTTACTTTGGTCAATGTGCATCGCTTTAAAAGCTAATGTGTGTTCAGTTAAATGGGGGGCGTAAACTGCAATGTAATCATCTGGGTCATAAAGGAAGGCGTTTAAAGAGAATCCAAACAGGAAAATTGTACTATCTTCTTTTGTTTGTAAGGAGAAAAGCAAATCTGTGATTTTTAATTATTTTATATTTCCGAATCATGCCAATAAATTGTAGAGAATCCACAAAGGTGCAGCTAGTCAATAATCTGAAGATTGCCACCAATCGACACTGGCCAGGCAGGGGGCGCTAAAACAATCACTTAGAAAACAATTACATAGGAAACGGCCAAACGGGGGGCGAAAAAACAATCACTTAGAAAACAATCATATAGGAAACGACCAGGCAGGGGGCGCTAAAACAGTCACTTAACCAAGCTTACTTATGAAACAATGTAGTGAACGTTATAGATGAAGATAAATTCTAATAAAACAGGGCGAAAAAAAAAGTACTAAACATTGAGTAGCATATGTAAACGGTATATATCTAGGTTTTAAGATGAAGACAAAAGTGCAAAAATAATCAATTTACCAAGCTTACAAAACAAAATAATAATCGTGCATATAGATCAGCTGATGACAAGATTCTACAGAACTAGATTCTATCTCTAGGTAAAGTCAACGGTTTGACAGTCCTTAAGCTAATATTATTTGAAAAGAGGTTCTTCGCCAGTTAATAGAGTCATCTTGAAGTAGCCCCACGACCATGCAGACTGAGTATAATTAAATACTTTATTCTATATAATTAAATAAATTAATTAATTGTGTAATTTTCATTTTATTTTAAACGATTCATGAGTCATTCGGCGCCTGTCTATTAACCCCTGTCATGGATCTGACAGCTGTATGTGTGTGTGTGTGTGTGTGTGTGTTTCATTCCGCTACCACTTGATGTGGAAAAGTTTAGAGAATGCATGAAGATCGCGTACTCTAAATCTGCGTGTACGGAAAAACAAAAACTAATGCATCTCTGACCAGCAAATGATCACCAGAATCTTTTGTGAAGTAGTTACTCTTACTAAATAAATCACTTGACCTTTAATCATTGAAAGAGAAGAGGAATGTGTACAGTTGAGGAAAATAACATAAAAATAATGAACGGAATTTTTGTAAGATGATAAGTTTATGTAAGCCATACGTGTTCTCTTTGGTGTGTAGCATTATGCAACCCCTCGGCAGTATAGTGACTATTTTCTACTGATGAACTGGTATTGCTTTCTCACAACTGTTAATGTGTATTGATTTTATGACAAGTCTAGGGTACTGTTTCAGGGGAAAATCTTCTTCAGAGCCAGAGATGGGACTAATTCAGTATGTGTTCCTGACCCTGACTGTGTCTGTTTGGCACATCTATGGATACAGTAGCGGGGCCCCTTCATTCACCTGTCCCAGCATGATGCCCTCCCATGGCTCCTTTAAGCCAAAGACTAACCCAGCCAGATACTACCAGATCACTAGCAGTACTAGCTCTTATACACCTGGAGAATCAGTGTCAGGTGAGGTACTACCAGTACTAGTTCATACACACCTAGAGAATCAGTGTCAGGTGAGGTACTACCAGTACTAGCTCTTATACACCTGGAGAATCAGTGTCAGGTAAGGTACTACCAGATCACCAATATTACTAACTCTAATCAGTGTCAGGTGAGGAACTACCAGTACTAGCTCATACACATCTGGAGAATTAGTGTCAGGTAAGGTACTACTACCAGTACTAGCTCATACACACCTGGAGAATCAGTGTCAGGTAAGGTACTACCAGTACTAGCTCATACACACCTGGAGAATTAGTGTCAGGTAAGGTACTACTACCAGTACTAGCTCATACACACCTGGAGAATCAGTGTCAGGTAAGGTACTACCAGTATTATCTCATATACACCTGGAAAAATGGTGTCAGGTAAGGTACTACCAGTACTAGCTCATATACACCTGGAGAATTAGTGTCAGGTAAGGTACTACCAGTACTAGCTCATATACACCTGGAGAATCAGTGTCAGGTAAGGTACTACCAGTACTAGCTCATATACACCTAGAGAAAAGGTGTCAGGTAAGGTACTACCAGTACTAGCTTATATACACCTGGAGAATCAGTGTCAGGTAAGGTACTACCAGTACTAGCTCATATACACCTGGAGAATCAGTGTCCAGTAAGGTACTACCAGTACTAGCTCATATACACCTGGAGAATCAGTGTCTGGTAAGGTACTACCAGTACTAGCTCATATACACCTGGAGAATCAGTGTCAGGCTAGGATTTGCAGGAAGACTGTGTGAATCAAGAGAATACTTAATTCACTAGCTCTGGGGTTTTCATTTTCATGAAGAAAAAAAATCAGTTCAAATAATTATCAGAGAAGAATAGCTTTTTCATACTTATAAGAACACTAGAGTTGGAAGGGGTGGGGTGCATGGGGTGGGGTCATAACTCTATAATGAGAAGAGATAGGGCTTTTTATATTTCACATGTACATTACCTGTGACAAGACCTTTCCAAATATACCATGATTTTTGAACCCATGACCTTGACCTTAAAGTTTGACCTACTTTTGAAAATTTTATCTTTGCTTATAACTTTTGACTGATTAAGAAAAAAAGGGCATGTTCATTACCAGTGAAAAGACCTTTCCAAATATGCCATGATTTTTGATCTCTTGACCTTGAAGTTTGGCCTACTTTTCTAAGATTTTAACATTACTTTAAATTGATCGTAAAATTTAAAGAAGAAAAGATAGGGCTTTCATATTATACATGTACATTACCGGTGAAAAGACCTTTCTAATTATACTATGAATTTTGACCCCGTGACCTTGAAGTTTGACCTACTTTTGAAAAATTTTATCTTTGCTTATAACTTATGATTGAGATAAGATACGACTTTCATTTTTGACAAGTGCATTACCTGTGCCAAGACATTCTCGAGCATGCAGTGATTTTTTTCCCCCTTGACCTTGACCTTCATGTTTGACCTAATTTTCAAAAATGTTAACTTTGGAGATAACTCTTGAATGAGATATGATAGGGCGTTCATATTTGACATCTGTATTGCCTGTGTCAAAATGTTTCCAAATGTGCTATGATATTTGACGCTGTGACCTTGACCTTCAATTTAGACCCAATTTTCAAACAATCAGTTTTTGTCAGCTTTTGACCTGAAAGTTTAACCTACAATTTTTTTTTTCGAATTAATTTTACATTTTGCAGTGTTTGAAATTCACTGCAAAATTAGCCAGACATGCAGGACTGACT